TAGCTTAACATCTCCTTTTGTGATAGTAAGTCATACAGGGTTGGAATTATATTAAGGTGAGTAAATTTTGGGGTGATTTATCTAGTAAAAAGTAGCACAGCTTACCCCACTGCTTCTATAAATAAGAAATATATCAAGCAGGATCTGCTATTGGCTTATTCATTCATTGCTACGCCTAGAAAAAACAAACACTTACAAAGGCGCTTCAGAGGTAGAAGAGGGACCATCCGTGTTATCTGCCTTTCTTTTCCTCTTTTTCCCTTTCCCTTTTCTTACAAAGTCAGGATCTTCACCTGGCTCTTCCTTAACATTCACCTGAGAGCTAAAACAGACAAACAGCCAAAAACACAATTAAAGGCTGTAAGAACTTCAGTCTAAAAAAAAGGACAAATATGCATTGGCCAATGACAATGACTAAATTACGGTGATTACACAATAATGCTTAATGGCCACTGATGATAATTATATAATTACAGTAATTATGCCCAAGGATAACTGCGGAGAGATGCAAGCTTCAATTTCCATAAAGCATGATTCAGATGTGGCGGGAGGTGAGCAGACCAAATCAATTAATTACAATTACCATAACAAATGGTTCTATTCAGCTTTGAACTTTCAGGGAGAGATTAAGTGTAAAAGAACACTCGGACACCTTCAGCAGTTTTAGAGTCTGACCTCTGCCGTGTAAATCAACCTCCCACCTGCAATCACCAGCAGGACTTGATTTACAAAGCGCCTGATTGTCAAAGTCCCTGATTAGAGAAGTACTGTTCTTATCTTATCTGAGACAGAAACAGTCAATGAGAGATTTTAGATGGTCCAACTTTTATATATAAAAATCTTATATATTAAATTTATTTCTGTAGATGAAATATCAATACATGTTAAATGTTTGCTTGCGCAGATTTATGCCTCAGGCTCCAATCCATTCCACCCCAGGACCCCCTCCCACCCAGTCTGATCTGAATGCTTTAAACTTATTACTTTTCTGACATGCCACAGCTTTCTTTCCAATAAATAAATGAATTTTCTGAAAGACAGCCAATGTAGCGAGAAAATCGGAATGGCTATTGTCCAGAACTGCGCACATTCAAATCATCAGAATTAATTTTCATCAACTCCAAAGGCAAGAAAAAAAAAAATTATGATTGTATATTGAATCGTAAATGGATTAAAACTCATTTCCAAGTGCAGCTGCTGGCTGCTGATGCCATTTCTCTAAATCAAAAGCCTCAATCTGTGAAACTAAATGTACAGTCCTGGCTACCAATAATACCATCACATGTGACAGCGATCTTACTGTACCTTCTGTCACCGTTGTCCATGCTTTTGTCCATGATTTCCTCTTTAGGTGTTTTCATCTGAAATAAAGAATATAACAACCAGCTGATGGAAACTTTTGTACTGCTTTTCTCAAACATTTAAGAATTCAATTAAATATATAATTTAAAAAAATGCATGTTTATGTATGTATATATGTGTGCGAATAAATATCACAAAAGATTGTAGTTGGTACTGTATGATTTTTTACTGTTTCTTGCTCACCAAGGCTGCATTTGTGTGTGCAAAAATAGTTAAAACAGGAATATTGTGAAAAATTACTACTAATGAAAAGAGCTGCTTTCTACTTCATTATATTTTAAAATGTACTTTATTCCTGAATTTTCAGCAGCCATTACTCCAGTCTTTAGTGTCACATGATCCTTCACAAATCATTCTAATATGCCGATTTGGTGCTCAAGAAACATTTCTTCTTGTTATCAATGATGAAAAGAGTTGTGCTGACTAAAATTTGTGTGGAAACCGTTTTTTTTTTTTTTTTCAGAATTATTTGATAAATAGAACATCATATATTGGAAATTGTTATTAATTGTTATGTTTCATAGTAACTTTATTAGCAATTCAGTGTGTTCTTGTGGAAAATAGTAATACAAAGTAATAATTTCTTCTCTCTATCTCCGGTCTAAATTAAATGCTAAAAATGCAAAAATAAGTTCCAAACAACCTACTTAATAACAATTTAACAAGGACATTCCTTTATAATCCCATCTTATTCCACTGTGCAAGTACCGGTAAAACACCGTATTAAGATGGCAGGTAATAAATAAAAAGAGGCAATACATGGAAGTATCAAAGAGATGAAGAAGCCGCATTATGCTAATGTAAAGGTGCAGGGGGAAAGTAGGGCTATTTGTGGGTTTGACACATCACAGGGAAGCCCAGTCTAATCAATGGCTTACAACCTGCTATCAGGGAAAGCCATCCAGATCACTTGAGGCCAAACCGGAGCCCGGAGCTCTCAAGGAGAATCATATTCCACTACAAAAATATCAGCATGGCAGGAAGTAAGTTGCATTAGAGAACAGACTTGCATAATGGCAAAATACTATTACTATCGTTCACAGATAATGAGTGGTTTTGTGCAGCCGCCCTGAAGAGGGAAGATTGCACTGTTTGCTTCGCTCTGCGTAACAGTCTATTCTTGTTACATCTAGGTTTTCATAACCTATGAATCCCGATCACAGACTTGATTGCTCGCTGACTAAATGCTTTTAGGTTATGCTCTATGTAGCCGTCTGTTCTTGTTATATTTGGGCCTCTGTAACCTACAGTACGAAACAGGCTCTGAATGATATGTCTGCATAAATATTCCTTTAGAGCAAAGCTAACAGGGCCTCTTAATTAAGCCGGACTTGAAGAGAGAATCCCAGGGGCATGACGAAAGAAAATTAATGGTGACACTGAAAAACTACCTTCCTGTGTGTTTTCTCCTTCCCTTCATGCTGAGGCTTCACCTTGCCTTTGGCCTTTACTTTCTTTTTCTTGAGCTTTACTCTGCGGAGGAACAAAAAGGAAGAGGAATGGATCATCAGGAAAAGATGATTAGAGGAATATGAGACAAAAGACAAACCTATATGAGAAAAGAAGGAGGGGTGGGAATAGATGAGACGAGGAGGAACATAAAAAGGCCATTAGTGCTGAAGAGTTCTGAATCCATATAATCGCTTTACAAATAAACCTCTCCCTTCACTGGAGTGTGTGACAGCCTGCCAGCAGGCCTCGTCACAACAGGCTGCTGTCAGCAACACTTACAGGTGTCCAAGTCTTTCATCAGATTAATTACAAATGCCAGAGACGGATGGATGTCCCCGGCGTTAGTGTGCCCATATAATGCATTAGATATCAAAGTAAAATAATTTATTCATAAAGAAGATGGAGTACAACTCTCTGAATAATGAATGCAAGCTCTTTGGCACTCACTTCACACTTGGTTAGATTTACGATTTCTGGTGCACATCATTTGTTTGGGAGGCTCAATTTGTCTCCATCTTTCGCAGTAACACGAAAGGCGTTTCCTGCTGCAAAGTGCAGCGCTGTGTATAATAATGTGCAGCTGTTGTTTGTGTTGCCATTAAATCATGCTTATTCTCAGTTGAATAACAAATATTTAGCTCACTTGTAAACTCATATACAGAAACCACAGATGCATTAGGGGTGATAGTAAGTTTGAATGGAGCGTGTGCCAGCAAGGCACAATTACAGGATGGAAGTCAGTCAAGATCAAGGACTTATTTTACCTACAGTACAATTGGACAAGTGTTTGAGGATGCGATGTGATTGGACATGCAGTGCTGCATTTGTTTGTGATGTATAAAGGGCCTAGTGCTGTGTTTTAATTTAGCTAACAGCTGTACTCACACAAGTGCATCATCACTCGAGCCTGGATTATCTTTCAACTCTTTTTCCACGGCTTTCACGGAGTTGGAGTCTTCTGCCATCCCTAAAGATTGATGCCAACAAATCAACTGAATTCACTGTTGAGTGCATTCCATTCAGATTTCACTGAAAACAGCCCTTGTGCAAAGCAGACGTCTTAATACGTTCATAAACTTCACCAAATACTAATTAATTTAGCATGCTAAACAGGAATATTTGCTGTGAGATGTGAATAAAATAAAGAAACATTAATGTAATACCTGCTAACCCGTATATTGTGCGGTTGTTATCAATCCATCCGCGTGGTTCTTAATCATACATACGAGCCACTGATTTGAGGTTTTGTTGTCGTTGCTATTTTTTAGACCAGTTTATGCTATATTTCCAGTGTGATTGTAAAATTATCTGGTGGTACAACAAATGTTAAATTAAAATGGGTATTAAAAGTGGATGTGCGTTTGAAATTTCTTTACCCACTGGACCACTAGCGACACCAGACTGAACTAACGAAAACAATTGTTTTCCGAACAGGTTTACTCCCATTGGTCAGACAAAAAGGTATTCCCGCCTCAAGCCCACGCCATTGGTTGATTTTGGCAGAGAGTCTTCTGTTTTCTGATTGGCTAACACTGCTGTCACTAGAATGACAGCGACTTTTCGCCATTAACCCACTAAATAAGAAGACAAGAAGAGGGATTTCTCCTGACAATAACATTTTAATAATATTTAATGATATAATCAATTATTATAGTATATTTATACATATCTTAAAATATTATTTGTTATGGTCTGATGACTGCGTTCGATACCCATGATTTTTTAAGGCAAGACACCACACACGAATACGATTTTAATATTTTTAAGATATCACCATATTCACCAGTTGTTTAATCACAATACAATAAGACAACTGTTTTGTATTACAAGTTTTCTGAAATGTTTAAATATGCAAATGAAATAATGTAATTAAATATAAATTAATTTGCATAAATTTCCAGAAGAGAAACCTAGTGTAAAATATCCAGTTGTATAATACATGCAGTTTTATGACTTCACATACATTGCATACATTGGCAGATTGCATAGAATGAACTTATTTATTTATACATGCATATTTTATACACATTTTCTCTTTTACTAAATTACTTTTACTAAGGCATCTAGCCATCTACCCTTCCCTACCGTTTAAAAATCCCAAAACATTAATGACCTTTTAAAAGCTTACTTCATATTTCACACGAGTTTGTATAAACACCTTTCATTGTTTGTGAGTAAATTGCGCTGTGTACGGTGGTGTCATGCATTTGGCATTCTGTGCGCGGCTCCTTTAAGAGACCCCGGAAGTGGATGTGAAGTGCAACATTATATACAAGGTTTATTTTGGTTCGTATTTGTCAGGCGCGCAATGACGTCTTTCCACTTATGTACAGCCGCGCGCTCTTTGCTAAAGTCTTATCGACACAGAGAAGTGTTAAAAACGGTCCAGGGACTCAGAGTGTGGGAGTTCAGAAACATGTATCCATGTACTTCCATCGCATGGCTCAACAGCATGGAGGAGATCCTGAGAAAGACAGTGGCCCCATTTCCCAGCTATGAGATGAGAGACAAATCTCCACCTCCACCTGAATCAAACAATCTGGAGTTCATGCACTTCTACAAAAGTATAGAGAAAGAGCAAAAACTGGAGTTTCTCGAGAAGTTGTCTTATGATTTCGGGGTAGATCACAGATGGGCTTCGGACCTGGCTGCGAAGTTGCTGGACACTCAGGTGCGGGATGTGGCCACCATCCTGCAGGTGGAGGACAGGTTACGGTACAGTTTAACACCCCGGTACCGACAGCTGCTCACGCACATCAGCAGGGTTCAGGGCGGGGTGAAGTTCCTGGTGGACCTCAGGGCAGATCTCATCGAGTTAGCGTCCTCAAAAATTACTGACAGCCCACATATGAGGGTAAATACACACCATTTTGTTGTTACCCTTTATGATATGTAGATGGCAAATGTATTCGTTTTTGGGGTCATTCCAAGAAAAAAAGGTGCCTTTTGTGTTCCTCATGAACATACTGCATCTATATAAAATATAGATATAAAAAGATATAAAATTACAATTCTAAATTACAAGTCTAAATTGTGAGATATAAACTTGCAATTGCATGGAAAAAGTCAGAATTGTAAGATAAGTCGCAATTACCTTTATTATTTTTAATTCTGTGGCAGAAAAAAAAGAACTGAACTGAATTGAAAAACAGAAAAAAAGTAAAAATTTTGAGTTTATATCTAACAATTCTGTTTATATATATGTTTTTTTTCACCCTCAGAATTGTGAGGAAAAAAAGTCAGAATTGAGAGAAAAAGTTATCTTAATTATCATTCCGTAGCGGAATTCTGTGGCATTATGATTAAGCATATAGAACAAAAAACTATATATATATAGATATAGATTTGAGTAAACATATTAAAAAAATGTCCCCAGGTTATGACAATCATAAATGTTCTTATTACCTTATTACTCTTGATGAACTTGATGTTTCCATGATAAATAGCTCATTATTGAAAACATGACATTTGTAGAAATATTAGCATTATCCTAGTAATAAACACTGTGTAGGGGCCCACATGACCTTCTGGCTTTTCCAGTGGTTTCAGTCAATACTGCATTTCTAACCTTGGCTTTGGTTATGACATGGCATGCAAACTTGTGATGTGCCCTTTCCCCCACTTAAGATACTGGTGGTCTCTGATTTCGCATGGCTGGTTGTGTTTGGAGCCAAACGACCTTTGTCCCACATTAGTGAACGTCACAGGCTTCAGCTGTGACACAGTTTGTAATGCTTTGGTGCCAGATATACACTTGAATTTATGGCATGCCATTTTAATTTAAGCCGTGACGTCATGGATACTTGTCTGTTGTACTACATACAAAGTCTACAGTGCCTTATAGCTCCTCCAAATTTGGTCAGACTGATATAATTTTTCATCTGTTGGAGAACATAAATATTTTTTTTATGAATTATTTAGAAATAAAAAAAAAATCTTTTAGTTTATACCTTTTGTTTTTAGGAATTTTATCCATTTTTATGCCTGCAAAAGTCTGCAGTATTGGAATGCTTGCCATTTTCAAAATTTAACACTTTAAAATGTAATCTTTTTTTCATGCTTGTGTGTTAAATATTTTGGCTAATTTGATTCTTTCAGCTCAATTTTTCACATTTACCAAGTTTAAATTCCATTCAGCAGAATTCCAGAGATCTCTTTTCTCAAAGTCAGTGTAGAAAATGTGAAAATAATCTGTCTGGGCCTGGTCATACTGAGAATAAGCTTTTCATTAGGATTCAAGACTAGGCTCTAGTTTGGCCATTCCAGAATACAAACCTTTTTTATGTCCCCCAAGGCATTTCTTGTGTCTTATGGGTAATTTTTCTGCTGAAACATCCCACAATCCAAACTCCATCAATATGACACCGTTTCTCCACAAGGATTTGTCTGTAATGACCTTGATGGCAACAATCATAGAATGATAAGTATGGACCTTTGTCAGGGCAGATGCCATATTTCCATTTTTAAGAGTGAAAATAAGATTTTGAGTGAAAGAAATAAGTCTGTGCAGCTACTAAGTGTCAATCTTTCAGCTAACAGAACATTGAAAATAGGAAAATACTGTGAAAATTAGATGACACATGAAATGTGAGCCTCGCTTAGATTTGCGAAAAATGTGACTTTTAAGTTTCCCTGCATGTTGGGCTTCGTTGGATTTGAGTGTTTTCAGGCCAAGCAGGTCTTACCTGACCAAAAAAGGGATTATTCTTCCAAAATATTTCTGGTTTTGTCTTGTGGTGCCTAGCAAACTTCAGTTGTTACACCATCTGTATTTTTTAAAAGTGAGCTTCAGTTGCTCTAGCTCTATGAAGTGCAAAGAAATCATTGAACTCTGGGCAGTTTCCCCCATTTCAGTCAGGAGACGTTAGTGTTGTAGACAGCCTTTGGGTCACTTGCACAGCACCTTGTCCTGATGCTGCTTATTTTGAAGACATGCCAATCTCAGCTCCAGTGTTTTCCCCCCACTCAAAGTTCCATGGGCAGCTCTTTGGTCTTCATAACAGCAGGGATGATCTGATCTGCTGTTTTAGTAATGAGACTTAAAAAAAGTCAGCATTTATTGTAGACTTGAACAGGTGGATTGGGAAAAAAAAGAGAATTTAATGCATGCATTGTAAAAAAAAAAAAAAATTCTAAATTGTAAAAATGTTATTGGAGAACATTTTACAAAAAAAATGCTATTTCGGTCTTTCTACTTCAGAATTTCTCATTTAATTTAATGTGTTATTTGACATTTCTTTGTAATTGTAAAATTTACTAGCAGTTTCTGAGTGAAATTTGTTTCTCTGACATTTGTTTTCAGTGAAGGGTGAGTTGACATTTAATATCTTCAGAATTGAATATTTGTGTACTGCGTACTGCATATTATCTACTATTTCTTAGTAGTAGTATATGTGAAACAGTACCCATATGCAAGAATAATTATGCTTCATTGTTGTCTCACGAGCTTACACTATTATGTGCATGTTTAATTTTGTGAATGGTGTTAATTTGTTAACTTGGAAATTGGTTATTATTAATTAATCAAATTTTGTCAGGTTTCTTTTTAATTTGTTCCATTTACTGCAGAAATAATAAGATTAATATGGTAGTTTGCTATTCTGGCCAGTATTAACTTTATGCAGAATAGACATTATAAAGAATTACCTAATAAAATTTAATTTAAATAGGTTGTAATTTGAGTTTGCAGAGTGGGAAATAATCAGTGAATGCTGAATACTTTCTGAAAGCACCATTGATGTCAAGCTGACAATCAGCCAAGAAATAATTTGGTCGCATGATCATTGTGTATTCTGCACTTCATTTAAAAGCCTTTTTACCTGTTAGTGAGTGTTAGCACAACTCTCAGTGGTGGCGTCCCATGCTTCTCTCTCCATAATAATATTGCATTACTGCATATCCCTAAGGAACGCTTCAGAGAGACCATCTGGCACACCTCCAGCCCACTGGGCCCTATCAGAAAAGATTCTGTGACATTAATATGTCTATGAGCTAGTGACAGTGGGTTGAAATAGCAGCTAGTTGCAGGGTAAGGTCGTTTTTGGTTACCCGAAATCTAACTGTCCATCAGTTGCCATTGCTTAGATTAGTGACTGTTGCATGCTCAGACAAGCTTCACAAATTGTCCTGTGAACAATGCAATTTTCTGTCAAATGTGTTCATATAGTGCTAAAAATTAAATAACATATTATTTGTACATGAACTGGAATGAAGTGTGACGTTGCAAAGCATCTTTTATCTGTAATTTTTCTCTTTGAAGCATGTGGGGACAACAGCCTGGCTCAGCGAGATGTTGAAAATTCGGAAATTTATATTAAATATATAAAATATAAAAACTCTTTAAATAGAAAAAACATACTTACAGTCTTTGAGTCAGAACAGCCGGCACTACTCTACCAGGATCAGGAAACAGTCCTCCATAAAATGTGCTGCACACAGCTGAATATTTGGGTTAA